TGGGGGGGGGGTCTGTCCTGGAAACTTTGACCCCGGGCTCTTGGAAGTGACAACATCTTAGAAGTTTGGAATCACAACATTCTAGAATCAGGGACCTTTAGAGCCTGGGGTCTCTGGGTTCCACTCCTCAGAGCTCATCAGTCCTTCTGCCCACCCAGGGCTGATGCCCACACAGCAGCCCTGGGATGTACCATCCAGGCTGTTTTGCCCACGTACAGTGCCAGGGAGCTCACTACCCCCTGTGAGGGAGGGTGGACAGGATTGTGCAGAGGACATGCTGCTGCTGCTGCTGGGTCCCTGTGTGGACGCTGCACCCTCACTGTCCCTGCTCCCCGTCCAGGGCCGCCCCTGAGGCCTGCTGCGCAGACAGACAGAGAGACACGGCCGTTCCGGTCCCACGGGACGCTTTAAAATAGAAAGCAGGTCCCGAGGCCCTGCGGGCGACATGGCCGGCTCTTGACCCGGGTGGACCGGTCTGGCTCTGCTGAGGAAACCATGGTCCAGCCTAGCTTTTGGTGGCTGACCTTGGCCTCCAGGATTTGGGCGGTCAGCTGCCCCAGGACAGGGGCCTGGACCTGGGAAAGACCTGGAACCTAGCACCATCTGCAGGGTCTCCCCAGCGTGTGGGGTCTTGTCTTTTTTTTTTTTTTTTTAGCTGAGCCATCCTGCTACCTGTTGGCAGCTCAGTGGCTGCTCAGCTCGGGCTGGACTCGAACCGCTGTTGCTCAGAGCTCAAACTCTTGAGCGAGCTCTTAACCAACTGAACCACTCGGCCAGCCCCTGTGGGGTCCTGTCTACCATGCCTGGGGGATGGGTTCTGAAGCTTCTAGAGAGAAAGCAGGCCAGGCTGGGCTGCCTGGGTCCAAACCCCAGCTCCACTCCTTCCTAGCTGTGTGACCTCGGGCAGGTGGCTTCACCTCTCTGGGCCCCCCACCCCTGTCAAACAAAGCTATGAACAAGGGTGCCCCCACTGAGGGCTGCTTGGGGGACACCTGAAGCGCTTCCCCTGGGCCTGGCACATAGTAAGTGCTCAGTGAATGGCAGCTGTTACAACTTGCTGAGTGCCTGACCCCCTACACCAGTGTTTTTGTCACAGGTCATGGTCAACCATGGGTCCATTTAGTGGGGTAACAACTGGCAGTTTTGTACCACTGCACCCAGGACTTACTCGGGGAGAAGAAGGGTCCACACCACCACGTCCCCAGGCCAACTGCCCCTCAGACCACTGCTCACCTGCACCAGCGCCTCCAGCCTGGGCCAAGAGGAGGCTATGGGGGGGGGGCGGACAGACTCAGGCCCCAGAGAGGCTCCCTTCCATCTTCTCCCTGAGGACCACGTCGCCCAGCAGACCCGCATGGGACAGACCCAGAGGTTCTGTCTCCTCCGCCCCGCATGTAGGAGGTCCCAAGGTGACAGGAGCACCCACAGCGGGGGCCCAGAGCTCCCTAGCCCCCATCCGGAGTCCTCAGGCACAGAGGGGCTCACCTCCCCTGCAGTGGGGATGGGAGGATGAAACGAGCTCTTTCAGGTGCAGGCCTGGAGTGGGGCACACAGGGGAGTCCCCAGTTAACTAGCCGTCATCGTCCCATTGTCCTCTCTGCCCCAGAGGAAACCCGCCATTCCCCCAGTATCTGGGTGGGCTCGGGGACCTGGGGAGGATCAGTGTCACCCCTGCCCACATAGCCAATCACAGGGGAGCAGCCAGGGTGGTGAGGGGGAGCACCACCAGAAGGGCCGAAGCAGCGGCGGGGTCTGGAGGGCTGAGCCCCACTCCTGGCCTCAGTCTGCTCACCCTGCTCACCCTGCAACGGCAGGGCCAACTCGGGGGTCTCCAAAGTCAGGTCGGGCAGAACCGGTACAAACCCTAGGAGGGCCGCTGGGGCCCCTCAGCCAGGACAGGCTGGGACATCTGACACAGGGGAGACTTCATGCCGCTCGAGTGAGCTCTTCCTGTTTGGGGTCGCTTCCTCCTCCGGCTGTCATGACCCAGCCTGGACGCACGGAAGGGGCTGCAGACATACCTCCCTAGAGGACTCGGCTTTCAGCAGGAGGCTGGGGAAGGGCGTGTGAGCATGTGTGTCTCACAGACGTGTAGGACTCAGTGCTTCCCGAGAGGAAGGCTTTTCACAGGCCTGTTGTCCCCACTTCGTGCACATAAGTGAGTGGTCTAGCTGGGCTCGAGCCCAGGGCTGCCCGAGGGCCCCACACTCCCAGTCTCCCAGACATGCAGGGTCACCTCTCCCCAGGGGCAGAGAAAGCCCTGCCCATTCCAGTCCACCTAGGCCCCTCCTGTGGGTGCCTGGCCCCTGCCAGGGAGTCCAGACTGCAGAAGGGGGCACGTGGCCATGACCCCGGGGGCCTTCTCGTCCATCCAGCTCCAGCTGCCGCCTGTCTTCTCTGGATCACCCCAGGGCTAGGGGCTCCCCATACCCCTCCAGTGGGCTTCCTCCTTCTGAAGACCTGGCCTGCATCCCCATACCCCAGCAGGCCCCCTCGGCCGGCCTCACCCTGGGCAGACAGCAGGACACGTGGCCGGAGTCCTGGTACTGTTTATACTCTCCAGTGGCACCGAGACGAGGGCCACTCAGGAGGACAGATGAGGTCTGGAGCTACAGGCACCAGGAGGGTGACGAGACTGCCTGGCTGTCACCGAGTGTCCCCTGCCTCCCCCTCGGCCCCCACTCGGCTGCTCTGCTGCTATTTGTGGCCTGATCTTCAGAATGGCAGACTCCTGTCCTTTGTGTGTCCTGGAGACAGAGTTCCACAGTTCCAGACACGAGGGTGCGGGGTTTCTGTGGGCTCAGGGAGGACGCTCCACCAGGCTGGGCTCCAGGGGGCAGCCCCACCCTAAACTGCTCCAATCAGACCCACGAGAAGGGGTCCTGACCCCCGACCCAGCCACCACCTGACCTCTGACCCTACACAGACAGCTTGGCCCCACCCAGGCTGTGGAGGCGACAAGGGTAAAATTGTCCCTGTGTCACTGTCTCCACTGAGGGCTGTGCGAGGGTCACGCCAAGCCTCCTGGGCTCTAGCAGCTCCCCACCCCCACCCCTGGGTCCCACAGAGAAGGGCCTCCCTAGGGGAGGGTCCTAGCGGTCCACCCAGGCTGCAATCCAGCGCCCCACGCAGTCTGCTGGCATCTGTTGTCTCCCGGAGAAACCCCCGAGATTTCTTTGGGAACCAGCCCGCGTGGGGCTCCACTGCAGCCCTCAGAGGTGAGCACAAGGCCTGGCCAGCCCTGCCCGTGACTCAGCGGCCGTCTCCAGCTCATAAAATGTGAGCCTCCGCTGGCTCAGCCCCCACCCCCACCCACATCCTGGCCAACGCAGAATCCACACTCCCCCAGCAAGACCCAGGGTGCCCCTGCCCTACCAGCCAGGAGCCAGTGCCAACCTGGGGCACGGGGCCGGGTGAGCCAGAGGCTGCTGCACGTCCCTGGGCCTCAGCCTCCCTTCCTGGGAGAGATGCGACAGTGTTCTAAGGAGATCGTGGTGAGCTGTGGTCTCAGCCCTGCATTGGCAGGGAGCCTGGGGGGCAGGGAAGCTGCTGCAAGGGCCACCCCCCCCAGAGTCCTCCATGGCTCCCCGCTGCCCTTGGGCCACGTCCACCATTCTGGTCCCCACAGGGGCAGCTGAGACCCAGCGTGATGTCTCCTGCTCACTCCCAGCCTCACCGCTGCTGGGGACCCCAGCCTGCAGGCCCCGCCGTCCGGATGGCCGCTCGCTGCCCTCCCCGCCCTCTGCCCATCCAGGCCGCCTTCTTGCTGTTGCCCCTGCCTCTGCCCTGTGCTGTGCTGCCACCTCCCGGAGCCCTCCTGACGACGCCCCTCCCCAGCTGGCTGGGCTCCCGGCTTCCACTGCAACCATGGCCCCCATCGGACCGAGCTCCCAGAGGCCAAGGGCCTCGGCGGGGCAGCTGTGCCTGTGTCCCCCGTGCCCAGCATGGGCCAGCTCAGCAGGTGCTTAGTGGTCAGCGTGCTGGAGGATTAAAGTGTGTGAGTGAGCAGGAGCACGGGGACAGAGGACGAGGGAGGGCAGAAGGCCTGACCCTGAGCCCCTCAGTCTCACCCTAGCCTCCTTCATGGATACCTGAAACCCTGACCCACGAGGACCGGCCACCAGCCTCCACCCTGGTCAGTGTGTTTATCGAGAGGGATGTCTCCCGGTGCCACTTCTGAACCGGGCCTCTGCTACTGAAATGTACAGCCCACTAGCCCTTGTCAGGTCCAGGTCTTTCCCCGGCACCTGACCACCATGTCCCCACGGAGCCACGAGCACTCACAGGTAAGGGAGGCACGGTCCCAGGCTGGTGCCAGCCTCACAGACACACTCAGGCATGCGTGTGCCCCTGCGAAGCCGCACCCATCCTAGGGACACACAGGAGCGGGCACAAACAGAGGCCCAGGTACCTTGTGCACAAGGGCCCACGCCTGCCGACGCACCCAGGCCCAGCACATCCAAACCACAGAACCCCGAGAGCAGCGTGGGAGCCCAGAGCAGTGTGGGGCAGCCTCGAGGGGCAGAGACAGCCAGGAAGCATCTGTCCCCCAGGCAGAAGCTGCATCTGCGTGTGCTCCCGCCTCCCACTGCACACACGTGAGCGCCAGCTGTGCTCCCCTGGGCCCCTGCAGCCCCCGCAGACAGGTCACTGCGGGGACAGGGAGCCAGGACGGAGCCGCCGCCGTCCCTCCCCGCTCTCCTCCTTCCGTCCTGGGTGGTGCAGCTTTGGCCCCGCCCCTCGGTGCCTCAGTTTCCTCCGCTGCCAGGCGGGGCTGTGGACTCTGCAGGCCCCGAGCTCCTCCCCCAGGGCCCTAGAACCAGGCTCTTCCAGGGGGCCGTGGGGAGGGGGGGAGAACAGGGAACCGAGCCGCCACGCCCCCGCCACGCCCCCACCCCGCCCCCACCCCTGCTGCCTTTGCCCAAAAGGAGACCCGGGCGCCGGCCTGACGTCAGGCCCCAGGAAGGCGCTTCTGGGCGGCCTGACCGAGTAGCCACAGAGCTGCCCCTGGAGGCTCAGGCAGCGCGGGCTCCGTCTCCAGCCACCGGGTGGGCGAAGGCGAGGTGAGTCCTCGAGGGCGGGCCTGGCCTCCCTAGCTGGTCAGTGCCAGTGTCCTTTCTCCCCAGGCGGGCAGCGGGAGGGAGAGACGGCCGATAACTGCAGAAGGGGCTTTGCGGTCCCGCCCAGTGGGGAGCCATTGTAGAGGTGGGAAAACTGAGCCCCAGGGCAGGGCCGTTAAAGCCGGCCAGGCTGGGTGCGGAGAGGGGGAGGGGGCGCTCCCAAGGGCTCCCGCGGTGCCCCTCCTGCCGCAGCCCCACCTGTGCTGCTGGGCCCCGACCCCCTGCTCTGGATTTCGTACATCCATTCATTCACGCGCACAGCACTACCGGTGACCGTCCGCTGGGTGCCCAAAGCTGGCCTTGATTTCCCCACTGTCCAGGCACGAGGCGGGGGGACCCCAGAGGCACTTGAGCTCTGGGACCTCGGCCACCTCCTTCTCCCGGGCTGGGGCAGGGCTGGGGGTTGAGGGGTTCGTGGAGACAGGTCCTGTGGGGGGGCACACCCCCGTGGAGGGCCAGACTTGCCACTCCACAGCTCAGGCTTTATGCTCCAGCCCCGCCCTTCCCCCACCCTTTTAGGGGTGGGGAAACTGAGGCTCAGGCCCGCCGGCCTAACCCCCAGCATGGACCTTGGAGTCTGGCTCTCGCCTGGCTCTCGCTGGCTGTAACTGCCCTGTGAGAAGGAACACTGTCCCGAGGGGGGCAGGCAGGCGGGTTGGGAACTGGCCTGTGGCCAGGGCGCTGAGCAGGACAGACAAGGAGCAGCTGTGCAGCCTTGGGCAGAACTGGGAACGGAAGGGGTGGACGGGATGGACGGGATGGCGGCTGCACTCATAGCCCTGAGGCAGGCCGCCGGACCTGTCCACTGGCCCCCAGATTCTCCTGCCAGAGGGTCACCCAGGGCCACCTCCCCTCCAGGAGCTTCCTGGCCGTGTGGCCCAGGCAAGCTGCTCCCCCGGCCTCTGACCCCTTCTCTGTGCAGCAGGCCGTGGTGGACTCTTATGGTGCAGGCAGTGCGGTCCACAGGGCAGAGCTCAGACCTCGGCTCCTCACCCCCAGCTGGGTGACTCAGACATACCTCTTAACCTCGCTGTACCTCAGTTTCCTCACAGGCAAAATGGGGCTGGCAGCACCCACTTGGGGGATCTGGGGAGGGATCAATGAGACCCTGGAAGAAGTCACCTTGGAGACAACAATGAATCGTAGAGTTCCAGCTCTGCCCCAGGGGAAGGGTGTCCAGGGTGCCAGGAGGCCAGAGGAGCTCAGGGGGGACTGTGTGGGGTGGTGACATGGGCTCAAGGGCCTTCAGCAGGTGACACAGGCAGAGACGGCATGCCAGGCAGAGGGCCCAGCTCATGCGAAGACGGAGTACTGGGCTGAGGGCCCATCAGGAGAAGGAGCAGGCAGAGGCCAGGCAGGTGCAGCCGGGACCCCGTCCTGCTGCCCCTAGAGAGGCTGGGCTGGTAGACGGGGGAGGCGTTCAGCCGCCGCCATGGTCAAGATGAAGTGAGGAATGAGTCAGGGTGGCACAGGGTGTTGTCTGAGCACCCACAGGACCCCCAGTACGACAATGCTTGGGGCTGCCCCTCCCCGGGAAACTTGCATTTCACCCGACAGTAAAATGAGAGACAGCGTCAGCTGCGACAGAGCCCAGGTGCTCTTCTGACAGCACTCCACCCACGCCCACAAGTGACCCCGCTCCCCCAGCTGGGTGACAGGCGCTCTGGCCAGGACGGGGACCTAGATTCCAGCCGGCACCACCTGGGGCCTGCTGGGTGACCCACAGCCAGCCTGCTCCCGCTTGGGGGGGTCTCAAACGCCCAGCTACCCAATCAATAATGGCTATTTTGGCCATAGAAGGCCATGAGGGCCACCCCGCCGGCGGCCTGGGCACACACGGGTACTCTGTGTCCGAGAACCTCCTTGTGCACAAACCCCAGGCTTAGAGATGCCCGTCCACCTGGCCTGGGCCCACCCCTGCCTGGACCTGGGAGCAGATGGACCTGGCTTTGATTCCCAGCTCCACAAATTTCACGCTGTGTGACCTTGAGCATGTCGCTCACCTCTCTGGGCCTCTGCTTCCTCGTCTGCAGAACCCAGGACTGCAGAGTGTCCAGCAGGGCGCCTGGCCCACAGCAGATGCTCCGAGCCTCTTGGTCCGGGAAAGGCTGAGCCTGTCCTCCATGCCTGCCCCTCCCAGCCCTGGTGCGGCCACTGCAGGCAGCACATGGGATCCAGGCCAAACTCGCAGGCAGCCACCTGTTGCCCCATTGCTGAGGCCAGGCTCCCCTGCGGTCCCCTATGTGGCAGGGAGGGCAGCAGCCAGGCTGCAGAATTGGCGCCTGCTCCGTAGCTGGGCAGCCGCAGAGGACACACAGGGATGGGGGTGGGGGGCTCCCGGAGGAGCCAAGGAGTGGTCAGGACACACCCCCACCTTGGCTGCCAAGGTGGGGAGGTCAGCAAGGCTCAGGTTTCCCCTGGGGTCTGTGGGCAGGTCCCAGCACCCTGTGCCTCGGGGGGGTCTTGGCCTTGCATTGCTGGGCACACAGCAAGCTGTGAGTGGAGGCAGCGGGGCACAGCCCCTCATAAGTTGGTATGGCTGTAAGGCTGGATAGAGCGGGGGCCCCAAGAGGGGACAGGATCAAATGACTCAGGAAAGATTCCCATTCTTCCCTTTGGGAAGATTCCTGGGTTTGAGAGCTTCACAAAGCTCTGAGAAGTCCTGCGCTGAGCACCCTGGGTGCCCGGGCCTCCCCCCAAAAATGGGCAGATGGGCCCAGGTAGGAACTCTGTTCAGGTGGAGAAACCACAAGCTTCCAGCACTATAATTATTACTGTTCCCCTTTTGTGGGGGACATCTGATATCTCTCACACACTCCACCCAGCACTCCAGTCACTCTGCCAGATTTCAGTCATTGGTTTGCTCCGTTATTCACTCAACAAACATGACGCCCAGCATCACAGGTGAAGGAACTAAGGCTCTGAGACTTGAATCAAAAACAGTTCATGAGCAGCAGAGGCAAGGCGAGGGAAATGAGTGGGTGGGCTTCCCAGAGGAGACGTCAACCCTGCTCAGCTGGAGGACCAATTCAAAGTGAGGCTGGAGCTGAGGGTGGAGGCTAATTCCAGGCCAGGTGGGGAGAGCACTGAACGCCAGGGTGAGAAATGGGCCTCACCTTGTGGCCTTGACAGGGCTCACGCACGTTCATCAGCCAAAGAAAGATGAGTGCCACTCTGTGACCAGGCCGTCTGGGTGCTGGAGGAACCGATGGAGTGCTGCCCTTCCCTCCCTTCCCCCAGCCCCAGCCCCAGCAGCCTCACCCTCACGATGCTCCCAGTCCGGCGGGGGAGGCAGACTCTTGGTCACATGCAGCAGCACAGTGGGGCAAAGCTCCAAAAAGCCTGTGATGTGCGGGCTCCAGGTCTGCACATGGCGTGGGGTGGGGGCTGCCCTCACCATGCACGATGCCACAGCAAACGGCACCCGACCCCTCCACCCTTCCCCACCCCCCCACCTCCGGGCACTCCCGGGCACTCCCACACCAGGTGCAGCCTCAAGTGCCCCAAGGCTGGTGTGATTGGCAGGGCTGGGTCATGAAGTTCCCCCCCACCCCTGTGACTAATCACTGTAGCCTGGGGGAGCTTCTGGGGGAGAGGGAGCCTGGAGCTCAGGTTGCAGGAGCTCAAGCCCGAGGCTAGAGAAGGGAGCAGGGCCAAGCCGCTGAAGGACTTCATTCCGCCAATGGTGGAGGGAGGCCGGGCAGTCCTGCCCGCAGGTCTGCGAGGGCTTCCTCCTACCCTCAGAAGCACTGGGCCTGGGTCTTGCCCCGGCCTCTCAGCCCCTAGGATTCGACCATCATCCCTCTGCCCTCCTCCCTGGAAGAACCTTCTAGAACAGTCTTAAGGGCTTGTGCCTGGAGGTCCAGAGACACGGGCAGCTGCCCGGCAGCCGAAGCTGTTCCAGGAGGCGCAGGATGTTCAGACTGGGGAGCACTGCGGAGCTGGACGTGCCCGCAGAGCCTTCTGCCTATCGTGCAGCTGGGGAGACTGAGGCCCGGGGCCTGGGCAGGTGGAGGAAATCCTGACCCTGCCTCCGAGACACCTCATTTCGTCTGAGATACACGGGAGGGGGGAAAGGGAAGGGAGACACAGGCCCCCAGAGCTAAAAGCTAGTGGCGGGGAGGAAGGCAGCTGGCTGGTGGGGGCTGACGGGGTGCTCAGCTGGCGCCCCTGCCTCCTCCTCTCCCACAGCTGCACACCAGCTGTTCAGCCCCACCCAGGACCAAAACTCACCCACTCTACAAGGCCTGGCCCATGCCCACCCCTGCTGGTCCTGCTGCCCTTCTCCAGAGGCGCCCCCCTTTTCTTAATCCCCTCCCTTGTTCATATTTGGCCCTGTCTCCCATCCCCCACCCACCAAAACCCCCTCAGCGCCCTTCCAGTGCCACCTCTGGACGATGCATCAGTACAGCCTCAGAGGCGGGTTCTAACTCTGCCCACTTGACAGCTGAGGAAACCGAGGCTCAGAGACTAAGGTCACAGTCTGAGATGAAACCAGGACGCTCTCTGGTTACACTCCAGTCACCCCCCACCCCACTGACCTGAGCCCCAGACAGCAGACTGCACCCCTGTTCCGAGTGTGGATGGGTGGAGCCGGCTGGGGCAGTGGGCAGTGGGCAGTGCCTGGCTGGTGAGGAGTGACAAGCCTCCCAACGCCGTGCCAGGCACCACAAGGATACAGCTCCTGCCCACTGGGCTCCGCCAGCTGGCCCCAGCTTCAGAGTCTGTTCCACCTTAGCCAGACACGGGCACCTGCCAGGAAGCGGGAAACGGGGCTTAAACTGGCTCCCAGGACAATGCCCTGCCACCACCCCTCAGACTGGCTCCCAAGACTGTTCCTCCTCCCTCAGACGGCTCCCGGGGCAGGGTCATGCCTCCCCGCCTCAGGCTGTGGAAAATACCAGTGACCCCACTTAGCAAATGAAGAACAAGGCTCACTGACCTGGCCAAGGTCCCGACAGAGCCAGACTTAAACCTGGGTCTCGGGGACTCTGCTTGCTCACCACTGGGGCCCAGCTGAGGGTCAGGTCCGTGGCTCCCCGCTCAGACCGGGGCACGGGGGGGGGGGCGGTAGGCCTGGCCCAGGCTGTCGCCACAGAGGAGCAGAACTTTTCTCCTCTTCCCCCCTCATTCCAGGCTGTAGTTAGAAGCCAATCGGGAGGGAGGCACGTGGGGAGTGGGTGCCCCATGCGCTGCCAGCAGAGGGGGCTGCTTTCCTAGGGGACCCACCTGCCCTTTCAGGACCGAGGACCTGGCTGCAGGTTCACCCCAGATAGACGCGGGTTTGAGTCCTAGTCTGTCGCTCCCAGAGCCTCAGTTTCCCCATGTGTAAATGAAGGCGGCCTGTAGGCCAGACGGGGAGGAGTTACAACGGGCTCTTCACAGAAGCCACCGCCATGAGTCCCCTGGGAAACTGCAGGGAGAAGGCGCTGTCATTGCATCACAGGCGGGGAGACAGGCTCAGAGTGACATGTCCGCTGGTTCCTGGTATTGTTCAAACCCTCTCCACAACACCCGTGGCCTGGCCATTGCTGGCTGTGACAGCCCCACACCGCCTGGGCCCCATCTTCAATGGGAACGTGGCCAGTGGGAGAGGGGCCAGGGGCACGCAAGGTGGAGGAGACGCACAGGGCATGCTGAGAACGTGGACGGGCACACGCTCGACTAAGGCAGATTCAGGGGTGCGTAGGGGGCCGTCCTGTGGGGTGAGGAGGAGGAGGAGGTGAGGCAGTGGAGCCCAGTGGGGAAAACGAGGCCCACAGCAGGAGTGACCTTCCGGAGGCCATGTGGGGGCAGGCAGGAGGGGCCCGCTCAGCCCAGACCCTCCCAGCCTGGCCCCTTCCCGCCCCCGAGAGGAGAGAGCCCACGAGGGTGGGTTTCCAGGGCCGTCAGCAGGCCCAGCCCCCGGGGCCAAGCACGGGCCTGCAGTCTCACCGTTTCCGCTCCTTATCCTTCAGAACGGAAGGGGCCGTGAGGAGATGCCCCCGACAGGGGTCCTTGAATAATTAAATCAGTATGAATCACTGTGAGAGGGGAGGGGAATAGATGGGTATGGGTGGCACCCATCTATGGGTGGGTGACACCCATGGGGTAGGGTGTCGGGTCTTAGAGAGCGAGCGAGCCCCATACTCGGCAGAGAATAGGGGAAGAGATGGGGGTGTGAAAATTCAGGTGAGGGCCCAGGCTGAGGCCAGGATCAGGGCTCAGAGTGTGACCTGGGTTTGCTTTCAAAGCGTGGCAGAGATCTAGGCTCATTGTGTCCCTGGGATCAGGGCTCAGAGTGTGACGGGGAACTAATCTCATTGTGTCCCTGGGATCAGGGCTCAGACTGTGAACAGGATCAGGACTCACAGATATCAAAGTTCATCATGTTACGGAGATCAGGCCTCAGCTTTGTTTGGGATCAGGGTTCAGACTCGGAGCTGAGAATCAGCGTGTGCTTGGCTGACATCTCTCTCTTCACCTCTGGGACGTTCTAAGCATCCTGTGTATCCCCCCGCCCCCCGGCAGCCCTGGCCTGGACCCCCAGCACCTTGATTGAGTTGCAGGCCAGCATACAAGGCTGGCTCTGGGGAGTTTTCTGGGAAGGCAGGATCCCTGCGGCCAGCGTCATCCTGGGCCTTTCTCCCAGAGGAAACTTTCTGTGATGTTTATTATTTGTCTCTGATGGTGACACTGAAGCCGGCCTAGTGCAGACACATCGGAAAACTGAAAAGCATGTAGAAAGGAGTCCAAAAACTGTTTGCCCTGTGTCCTCTGGGCCGGCTCCTGGCCTCCCGTGCTTTGCCACGCATGGTTTTTCCATAGTAGAGAAGGGACACGTTGGGTGATAGCCCTCTCCTTCCCGGGGACCTTCTATCACCCATGCCTCAGACGACGAGGCGCACAGCGCTGATGTGAGGGGTTCCCAGCCCCATGCCCTTGCCTCATCGCCCACCCTCGCCGCCCCCTCACGCCCACAGAAGTTCTCTCCCTGCCCAGATGTCCCTAGCTCCCTAGCTGCACCCGTCAACCCTGTATGTTAGGGCCAGGAGTAACCAGCAGAAGGTAGCCCACCCAGAGGCCTGGGCCTGCGTATGCTGGGGGTGACTGGAGGGGCTGGTCACAGGCCTGGGCGGCTCCTGACCCCACCCTGCAGCCTCAGGGGTACAGAGGCACAGGCTCAGCTGGGTGACCTTGGGCAGGCGCTGACCCTTCTAAGCCCAAGGATGGAGGCGGCTGCCTGCCCTGCCCAGGCCTCCCTCCTGGCCAGCTTGGGACCTGAGCCTCAGCTAGTGCCCAGACCCCCGCCAGGCTGTGCATTTGGTTCCCCGCCACAGGCAGGACTGAGTCCCTGCTCCACAGGGTAGAAACTGCCAGCGGGAGCCTGTTGCCAGAGGCCATGCAGCCGGCCGGGGGTGTGGGCAGTGTCTGTCCTGTTCACAGCAGATGCCCCATTTACCTCATCACCAGGAGGGGGAGAGGTCTTCCCTCCTCCCCCTGAAGGTGGGGGAGGGCACGCTGTGGTCCCTCCTCCCTGTTGCTCTCCAAAGCCTTCTCCTTTCTCCTGAAAAAGCCGAAAATGTCCTTATTTGGAGGATCAGCCCAGCCGGGGTGGGGCTGAGGGGCCGTTAACCCTTCATTTATAAATAAAGGGATAAATCTCAGCAAGTTAAACAGCTCAGCAGGAACATAAACAGTGGGCAGCCCCCGCCCAGCCCCCAACCCGCACCCACCACAGTGTCTGGGCCACCAGGACTGGATGGGCGTGAGCACAGCGTTTATTTAACTCACACCCACTCAGGCCCCGCTGCCCCTGGGACCTGGCTCCAGCCTCCAAGACAAGGGTGCTTGCCTCTCAGGGCTGGGAGGGAGCTGGGGTGCCCACGGAGGCTTGTTCTCAGCCCCCCATCCCTGCCCCTTGGGAAAAGCCCCTTGTGAGGACCCTCATCCAGGGTGCCAGGCTTGGAGGACGTGAGAGCCAATGGGTGGCCTAGAGGACAGGGGTCGTGACGCACGGGCCTGGGGTCAGTGCGATGGGGTGAGCATCTGAGTAGGGTGACCACGGGCCAGGCTCTGTCTGAGCAGAACGCTAGCCTATCTCGCACCACCTATGTGCTGGGTGCTGCTGCGCTCAGTTAATCCTCACAGCGCCTCAGTCCCAGCCGTCTAGGTTAGGACACGAGGCACAGAGAGGCTAAGTGAGTTGCCTGAGGTTGCACAGAGTAAGGCAGGAAGCAGACTCGGAGCTGAACCACCGCACCCTGGGCCCTACCCTCCTACCTGGGCCGCACCCATCACCTTTGTCTTCTCTCTAAGTCCTGGTGATGGTTCTGCGCAGCGTCAAGGGTTTTCCTCTCCTGCTACAGGGAGGAGCAGGCTCAGAGCCCTCGTCTTCTGCCAAAGCGCCACATGGCAAGTGCCAGGGCCGGGCCAGGCAGAGGCGCTCGGTGGGCAGACCAGCCAGGTCCAGCCTGCAGGCAGGGCTCAAATACCCCCAGGGTAACCCCATCTCTGTCCTCCCAGGCGCGGGGCGTGTGCCTGCCCGCCTCCATCATGCCCTCCGTGTCGCCCACGGGGCCCCCGACCACGGCCTCCAACGCCACAGCGACGGTCACGGCGTGGGCCAACCTCAGCGTGCCGGAGCGGCCCCTGTTCCACCTGTTCGCCCTGCTGGACGAGGAGCTCCACGCCACCTTCCCGCGCCTGTGGGTGGCGCTCATGGTGGTGCACGGCGTCATCTCCCTGGCGGGGCTGGTGCTCAACGGGCTGGCGCTCTACGTCTTCTGCTGCCGCACGCGGGCCAAGACGCCGTCGGTCATCTACACCATCAACCTGGTGGTGACCGACCTGCTGGTGGGCCTGTCCCTGCCCACGCGCTTCGCCGTCTTCTACGGCACGCGGGGCTGCCTGCGCTGCGCCTTCCCGCACGTCTTCGGCTACTTCCTCAACATGCACTGCTCCGTGCTCTTCCTCACCTGCATCTGCGTGGACCGCTACCTGGCCATCGTGCGGCCCGAGGGCGCCCACCGCTGGCGCCAGCCCGCCTGCGCCAGGGCCACGTGCGCCCTCGTGTGGCTGGCGGCGGGCGCCGTGACCCTGTCCGTGCTGGGCGTGGCGGCCGGCGGCGGGCCCTGCTGCCGCATCTTCGCGCTGACCGTGCTGGAGTTCCTGCTGCCGCTGCTGGTCATCAGCGTGTTCACCGGCCGCATCGTGTGCGCGCTGTCGCGGCCGGGCCTGCAGCAGGGCCGCCAGCGCCGCGTGCGGGCCGTGCAGCTGCTGCTCACCGTGCTCGTCATCTTCCTGGTCTGCTTCACGCCCTTCCACGCGCGCCAGGTGGCCGTGGCGCTGTGGCCCGACCTGCCGGGCAGCTCCAGCCTTGTGGCCTACCACGTGGCCGTGACCCTCAGCAGCCTCAACAGCTGCATGGACCCCATCGTCTACTGCTTCGTCACCAGCGGCTTCCAGGCCACCGTCCGCGGCCTCTTCCGCCGGCGTGACACGGAGTGCGAGCCCGGCGTCGGCGACGTGGTCAGCGCGCGCAAGAGCTCCAAGAGCTCGGGCCACTGCCACATCCTTAGCGCCGGCCCCCGCGCCCTCACACAGGCCCTGACCAACGGGCCTGAGGCGTAGTCTGCAAGGGGGCCAGACGGCAGGCCGGCTCTGCGTGGGTGGCACATCGGGTTCACCTTGATCGATTGGTGATGGCTGCCCAGAGCCCCAGCGAGAGATTGCGAGGCCGCTGTGCTTCGGTTGATTAGCAATGTCTGCCACAGGCTCCAGGGGGGGTCTGGTGGTCTGAATGCTGATTATTGGCTAGCCCTGGCGTATATATTGTGTCCATTGAAAACGCAGAGGGGTACCCAGGAAGGAGTGCCTTCTTACCTGGGCCATTCTGTCCCCAGAAAGAGGTCCTTGGAAAAAGAGACAAAGATTTTTTTTAGGTACTGGGGACTCCAAGGAGAGTTAAAAAGTCAACTTGAAGAGGTGACCTCCCCACCACCCCTACCCCACAGAGAACAAGGACAGGAAGGAAATGTCAGGGGACACAGGGTTGCATGAGTGACATGAAGCGTTCGGTGCAGGACCCGCACCCGGGGCGTCCATGAATCACATAGTAAGACTGCACAGTGCCCAGGGGCTGCCTTGCTCTGAGCCAGTAGTTGGATATTTGGGGTGAAACCTGAACCTACAACCACCCCACAAAGGCGATTTCCTACCCTCCGCAGTGCGGGAGGGTTTACGCACCAAGTATGGGTGCCACGGCCAGGCAACGGCTGGGTCAGAATCGGCCCCACTTCCTTCAGCACCCCGTGCCTGTCCCATGGAAACTGCTCCCCTTCCCAAGCCCCCACTCCAGGAATGGTCTCAGAAGACCCTGCCTGCTGCCCCAGGAAGATGGCAGGGCTCATGGCCCTCTCCTATTGATGAGAAAGCCAAGGGCAGACACATAGCAGCTGAAACCCAGGCCTGCCGGCCCGAGGTCGCCATCCCCACACTCAGAGCTCTTTGTTCTCCCCTCGGGGAAGAGCTCTGACCAGTGGCTCTCACCTGGCTCATCCTGTCCCCCGCCTTTTCTGGGGAGGCAGCATTTCTCTGGCCAGGACTCCAGGATTGCCTCTGTGTGCCTCTGGTCCCCACGTCTGCAATCCAACCATCCAACCTGGGTTCCTTGGAGGTGAAGGACCCCCCGGGCCAGGGGGAGCCTTCCACCATTCAAGCTTCAGAGGGTGGCTACCTGTCTTCTGGGGCCAGGGCAGGAATCGGGGGCCGACCTCGCGCCCCTGAGAACTCAGTCTGATGGCCCCCTATGCAGAACCCTCACTAGAAGGGCCTAGGTGCCCCCCCATCTCCACTCCTGTCCTTTGCAACTGGAGGGGTAGGGGGTCTGGGGACTGGGCCCCTGCACTCCCACAGATGCTTGGCCTGCTTCCTCCTCCGGGGTCCCAGAGGCCAGGCCAGGACTGTCCGGGTCCCGGAGGGGCAGGGTGTGAGGCCTCTGCACCCCCTCCTCATGGCCTCCCTTCCAGGTTTTCCAGAAGCCCGAGTGACGTGAGATGCCATGTGTATTTATATCTGATATAAACAGTCTCCTTAACCAGAAGTCCTCATCCTAAATTAAACCTGTTTATCCCCTTGGTGCCCTCAACTCAGCTGGTGGGCAGGGGTCGCCATGGGGCACTGAGCCAGGCGGGGGCCTATGTGTGCCGCCCTCCACTCAGCTGTCCTGTGGACAGGCAGGGGCTCCCCAGGAGAGGCTGTGGTGGTGGGTTCGCTGATGGGCAGGTTTGGGGCCTCCCGGGGGATGGAGGGGATGCAGGTGGCAGGCTGTGGGCTGGGTGTGGGTGCAGTAGCTGGGGGCACAGACCTGCAGAGTGATGGGTCCTCACCCCATCCTGGGCCCGCTCCACCTGCCCGGGGAGAAGATATGGATGTGGGCAAGGCAGTCAGAAAGCCCACAGTGTCCTGTCATATCACCAAAGGTATGTTTTGGAGGGAGAGGGAGGGGATGGGTCAGTCAGCCAACACCCGAGGGAGAGGGCGGGACTGTGGCACTACTTGTGGGCTTACAAAGCGCCACTGTCCCTTTCTCTGAACCTCCCTATAAGCCTGGGAGGTCAGGACTGTCACCCCCATTTCACAAATGGGGAAACTGGAGGTCTGGGTACCCAGGAGACTCTCAGACCTTGGCCCCCAGCCCCCAGTTCCAGCCTCACACACAGATGGGTCTCTGTCCTCAGCCCAGGGAAGAGCTGGGGCGGTGGGGGATGGCGTTGGCTGGAGGGGTTCATCACTCTCGCTGTCTGGCACCCTCTGAGGCCGGAGGCGTCTGGAGGTAAATATTAGGGCCTGTTTAGATTAAGCTCCATTAATAGCAGGAAATGTCACAGTGGCGCCCGTCCCGGCTTCCCGGAGACTTCTGATGCCTGAGGCAGGAGTGGGGGCGCCCTGTGGAGATGGATGTCCCACCCTGACGTCCTGGCTTACACCCCACACTTGTGACCCCCCTGCCTTTCCACATGTCTCCCGTCCCCTCCGCAGGCTCTCTGTGCCCTGCCCAAGCAGGGCACGGGGAGCCTGGGAGGTGCCTGAGAGGGGCTCTCGAGTGTGTGAAGACACCCCCAGGCCAGCCACCACCGTGTCCTCACACCCTAAGGGACAGTCCTCCACACCTGAGGGGGCCTATGTGCCCAGCTCACAGAGGACAACACTGAGGCTCAGAGATATAGTGGGACCAAGCCAAGGGTACCCAATGCCACCGGAAAAAGAGCTGGAATCCCCACCTGGACCTGCCTGACCCCAGGGCCAAGAGGAGGACACCCCAGATGCAGGAGGGGGACCTGTTCGTGGAGTCCTGGGACCTGGGAGGGTCTCCCTCCACCCCACCCACCCCATGGGTGCCCCCTCCTAGTGGCCTGCAGGGGGCTAGGGGCCAAGCTCCGGTGCACGTGGGTGAGGTCCAGGGCTCTGAAGCCCCACCTCACTGTTTTCTCCAGAGCAAAGCCAAGGGGGGCTGCTGGGGGCAGCTCCTGAGACCCTAACGCCAGAGGCTCATGGAGAGGGTGCCATCGCCCAGCCCAGGGTGGTGCTCCAGGCACAGCCCAGGCAGCGGCAGCAGCATGTCCCACCCACACCAGGCCCCCTTGGCCACACCAGTCTCTCCAACCCGGAGCGAGTCCTGTGCCATCCTGGGCCTCCGCTTCCTCTTCTGTCAGGGGAGGATGATTGACACCTACCTTGAGGTTTGATTGTAAGGATGAGAAGCCAATGTGTATGTGTTTGTAATGTTGTATGTGCATATACTGTGGTGCATATATGTGTATTGCGTGTGGGGGGGGTGCAGCGCTCAGCATTCTAATTAGTGATTAAGCTAATGAAGGGGACGGGAGGCCCCCAGGAAGGCCCCAGCACATTCATTCATTTTCATTCATTCATTCAACAGCATCCTCTACCTTCCCTGTGCCAGGTATAATCTGAGGGTCTCTCTCCCAACAGGACATCTGTCCCCTCCCCACACGGTCACAATGATTGAGACCCTCCCCCATTGTCACCCACTCCTCTAGGTTAAGCCCCATCTCTGCACTTCCCCTGGAACCTGCACACACCTGGCGAGGGACAGAGGTGGGGGCACATCTTGGGCTGGGTCCCGGGTGCAGGATTCCTGGGTTCTCAGAGCTGCCAGTGATCTTGGGAAGCCCCTCCAGGTAGCTGCTACGGGGAACACCAGTTGGGCCAGGGTGTCTGGGGGCCTGAAGCCACCAGGTGGCGCTGCGGGCCTGGGAGAGGCGGCCAAACTGTAAGGCACCTCCGCCCCCTGGTTCTTGGAGGGGCATCCCTAGCTAAAGCCCGCAATCCTGGAACGCTGCTTGGAGGAGCTGGGGCGCTGCAGCTTCCTGGCCTGCCTGGGCAGAAGAGTGGCACTGAGTCAGGGAGACCCAGGGCCCTCTGACTCTGCCGACTTCAGTGCAGCCCCCCACTCCATGCCTCGGTCTCCTCACCTGCCGGAGGGGAGCTGGGGGAGGTGGCCACAGCAGGAGGGGTGGGCGCATGGTAAACACCTGCCTTGAGTCACAGAGCTTGGAAGCAGAGCCGCTCACTGTGTGAGCGGGAGAGAAACACGCCCGAGGGCTGGGATGTCCTGACAAGCAGTACCCTGAATTTCCAACTGCAGCGCTGGCACCTACCCCAAATCCAGGCAGTGAGGACGCAGGAGACAGGCAGTTGGACAGATGGACACCAGGGAGAGACTGGACTGGATATGAGCCACCCGGTGGTCCCTGGCCTGTCCTATTAGGCAGAGTGGACAGGCCTTGCCTGGAGGGACAGGGGGAGACAGTGTCTCTTAGGCTCTGGCCCGACACTGCCTGTGTTTCCATCGGCCCACCCTCTGTCCATGAGGCAGCCCCCACTCCAGCTCATCTGAGAGAGCATCCTGAGTGGGGTGGGCACAAGGCCGATTCCAGCAGCTCAGCCCAGGGCCTGGATTCCTGGAGTGGCCAGGTGGGACTGGCTTCTCCCCCAGACGTGCTTCATGGGGCATCCCAGGAAGATCCCATCATGGCGCCCCAGGGAGCAGGCAGTGTGGCCACTGGGCCCTGAGACCTTCTCAGTGGGCCCCTCCCAGAGCAGAAGCCAGGATCCGCAAGGCACCTTCCCATCCCATCTCTCCCTCTGGGATGCTATTTCCCTTGCAGCTTATCCTGTCCTTCCCATACCCCCGCTATGGGCCTGTCCCCACCGTGGGCCTGTCTCCCAGCATGGGCCTGTCCCTGTTCCCAGAGCTGCTCTCCTCCCCAGCCACAGGGCCTTTGTTGGACTGGGGGTGACCTCAGAGATGGCAACAGCAGTAGAGCCCCAGAACCTTAATTCTCTAAACCAGAACCTTGAAATCCTCTCTTGCACCCTATTTCACTGTGATGGCTTTAGAACCTTCCTCCCACTCCCTTCTCTGCTCTGTGGCTTCTCTACACACACACCCCCAAATCTCTCACAAGCCTCAGGCCTCTGCTTGCTAAGTACCCCCTCAAAGGGGATAAGAAGTGGGGGGCCAGCCTGAGGGAGGCAAATGTGGCTCATAGATGTTCCCAGAACTACCCCCTCCAAGCAGCCATACAGGTCCTCCAAACGTGGACTTTTGGCCACTTCACCAAGCCCTTGTCTCCCCATGAAAATCGACCTTTCCTGGGTTCCCCCGAATGGCTGCAGGGGGGACGTCACAGGATCCCTGCTGAGATGTGTGCTGTGGTGCTCCTGGGAGAAAATGTCCCCCAGGCCTGGGAGGAGCCCTCAGCAGACGGTACCAGATCCCACAGAAGGGGTACGGAGTGTGAGGAAGGGTGTTCGGATGCCACCCGAGAGCCAGCCCAAGGGACAAGGGAAGAAGGGAGCGGACAGGCCGGGCAGTCAGAAGCACTGTCCACCAGTCCCACCCGAGCCTTGTGCCAGGCACACAGTGAGCTCTCCAGGAAGATCCATGCTCGTGGAGCTGGGTTCCAATCGCAGT